CTTATTCTCCTTCGTCCACCACTACCATCACAGAGGGGTCTTACCAGACACTCTCAGTGTGCTATACATCTTATTGCATTCTCACTTGTGTGATCATGCCTCTAGCCTCGCCAGTAAGTCTTGCTCTGCGACCAGCTACTAGGCCTCGTCAGTGGGCACGTCGTACTGCCACAGCTGGTAGCTGTCAGCACTTAGCCAGGGGGCCCTCAAGGGGACCCTATTTTGGTTGTCTATCTTTGTCATCAGCGTGCCGTGACAGGATGTAACCAATGAGAATTGTTGCATGGGACGAAGGTGCACGTCGTATCTCCTTATCCAAGTTTCCGATGCTGAGATAGACAGGCCACGCAGTCTTGTCTCCACTGAAGCGTGACAGATGCATCTTATCAGATGCAAGAATGATGGGTGCAATTGTTGCACCCTTTGACAATCGTTCCTATAGCGAGGTCAGATCTGTTTTCTCTATTTATTGTATCTACTGACCTGAGCATTCCACCACCAGTCACCTATTCACATATTTTCATACAATCTCTCTTTACCCATTGAATCCACATACATGTGCTCTGGTGCGAACTGCATGGTCTCACGGAATGCTGGATCTCCCATGAGTTCTCGGATGCAATCTACAGGATTGCATTTCCATAGCTTCAGCCGCTCACTACGTGATTTTCCATTCACATCAAGTTCATCACCCATCACTTCGAAGATTTCACACTCCCATTGGGGACCACGTGGTAGCTGATCTAATTTTCTGAATAGATTGTACTTATTATGAAATGACAGATTCATGCACTTCTGAGTCTGTTCGAACAACAACCTGACTCACTAACTAATCAACACCACAAAATGATGACATGTACAATATGCAGTTTCAAGTATTTGTCAATTTCACCTTGTGTCAAGCCGCTAGTAAGCAGCCACCACATCAGCTCCCACTCTTCTTGCGACTCGAATGGTGCCCACCACCACTCTGCAGTTCGACTCTCGAAGAGCTTGTCCTGGTTCTATACGTTGCTCCAGCATGCTCATGATCCTGAACATATGAATCTCTTGGTATTCCTGCTGCGATGTCCTCTGCTTCATCTTCTGCTTCATCAACTCTTGCTCGCTTATTCTGGGTAGCATGTTCACTGCTGGCACTTTTGTTGCTCTTGCTTGATGACTGGTGAGGATCTGGAAGGCTGCCAATAGACTCTGGTTCTGTGTCAAGGATGTTCTCAAGCTCGTCGTCTATACAATCATCTGCAACAGCATCGGTGCACTGCCTTCGATTGCTCAAATGTGCATGACACGCGAGATGACATGATGTCTTCTGTGAGATGTGGGAGCACAGGCCTGACTGGGTGAACTTTTGAGCATGGCAGAATGGGCAGGAAAAAGGCATATCAGTCGACTGTAGTAGCAGATGGATGAGTAGCACAGCTATCAACCAAACTGCTCAAATTATGCTGCCAGCTGTCGAAGGCATGCTCGAAGGCACATTCAACAAGGCACCATTTCACATCTCATCGTTCTCCTCAACCTCCTCCCATCGTGTCACCTTTCCAGCTCTTCATTTCACTTTCCGCTGCATTTTATCAATGCCTCGTCGAATCTTGAAGTCCAGCGATAATGAGCAACTAGTGCAAATGCGACACGCTGAACTCGCAAGAAGACTTCAAAACAAGACGATATTGGTATGATGAGCTTTCGTCGTCTCTCATGTTATCACTGATGCTGGTGTGGTGTCAATCTCAAATAGAACGTGAGAAGATGGACAAGCTGCATCGAAAACTTGTGCAGCTGCAGAGGGAGAATACAAAGCTTCAAAAGGTTATGGATGCTACACAGCCGGCTACTGCAGGTATGTATCATTCAGTGCATGGCACACGCATTTGAGCATTGAGATCCTAACATACGTGTGTCTAAAAGTTGACGAGTGTAATTATGATTCCCTGCCTCCAGAATCAGAGGAAGGCAGCGATGGTGATCACGAATCAGGTACATTTGAGCCAGCGGTAAGCGATTCTATTGCTTTGTACTACGACGTGCCATGCAGGCAGTTTCACAGCCTATGAATGATCAGTTCATCTCAATAGGCACTGTGTCCATGTCCATCAAGCCCCCATGACTTTGCCATGAGTCTAGAGAACAAGCTATGCTGGGTGATCGCTCTGGTAAGTATTCATCTGATGTGCTGTCCACTATTCATGCTTTACACTATACAACAGTACATTCAGCAGCCAAGCCTGCATCCAATCTACACATCAAAGAGAAATGCTCAAGCAGTTCAGCGATAAATTCGTCAAGCATGCCCCAGTCTCCAGCACTTACATCATCCTTGTCAGCCGTAGAGTCACGACCACCATCTCGGGCCAGCCAGATATGTCGCATCATGTCTGAACTATATTATTCTATAATCAATCTGTTCTGGCATAGTATTCTATTATATCCGAGCCTTGTTCAGAGTACTCCAATGTTTGAGTTGAAGAATCTGACTCCGGTATTGTTTCTTAGTCATGAGCACACTATCAGCCATCAACCTCTTTCCAATCAATGAATGATAAGCATACGAGGCCAGCTACTAGCACTCACATTTCTTCCATCTCTCATCAACCATCCGACGGTATTCTGGAACCTGCTCTGAAGAAACCACAGCTTCAGAATGACATTGAATGCAAGAGCACTGGCAGGAAGGCTTCGTCCTATGGATCTCACAAGAAAAGGCTGACCCTGGTTGCATGCAAGGATTTTCAGATTCGTGTTTGTTCGCTGAATGCATTTCCCAACTCTGAGCTTCAGTTTCAATGGGCTCGTGATGCATGGGCATCTGCTTGTGGCAAGACCGAAGATCTTTCAGATAGCGACGTGGAACTCACTGATGATATTGTTCGTCTGGTAAGTCATATACCATCATATTCATCGGCAATGCAATTCCTAATCATCTCAACATTCTGTCTGACAACTTATCTCAAAGATCACTGAGCGTACATCAAACGCTCAAGGCGCATTGTGAACAGTTGTCCAGCAAAGCATCGCACAGGTCTATAGATTCTTCAATGATCACACAATGCATGTCATCAAAGAAAACTGTGCGCTTTACCTCAATCTCGTTGATGAAGACTGTTTTCACTATGAGGTGTGAAATACTGTGCTAAATGCTGTCGGAACTGATCATATCATCTGTTGCCTTGCAGAAAATCAGTGAACTATCTGGATTTGGCCAGAATAAGTTCATCTTCGACATTATACAACTAACGTGGTTCCGAGATCGCAATCATTTTGGCATCCATTTCTATGAATGCTTTAAGCCTTTGTCACAAGTCACACTTGCACTCATATTCATCGTGGTATATCTCTGTTCCACTGTTACTGGCTGTTTAACTCATTTATAATTGGTTTGGCACAGATTGAACATGGATTGAATCAGTATGCCAAAGAAAAGTATCACAAAATTGAATTCTCGGAGGCCATGTACAAGAGCAAATACAAGCAACATCTAGCCAGCATACAGGAATGGTGTCAGTTGCATCCAACTGTCACTTGGAACATATGCATGAGGATGTTCCGCCGCGCATTGTAAGTCGACGGAATTTTTGATTATATGTGCTACACTTAGTGTTGGGTGTATTAGTCATGCATCAGGTGCCCCTCAAGCACCCCCCAGCAGCAGGATTATCTGCAGATGCACGTGCTAAAGCAGCTGCAGAATTGGAGGCTCACACAGGGGAAACAGAGAGCAAAGGCTCAGATGCTGGACATTAGTAGTAGATGAGTTGATGGCAGTGATCTTGGTGCAACAAATAATATCTTGGCCTTTGGGTTCAAAATCCTGATTTATGTATATATGCCTGCCTGTCATCTGAAGCAACTATGGTGCTATGCAGAATATGATATATCCTGAACAAATATATTGGGTGATATAGTGAACATTGCCTACTCACATATGAAGCTACAGCTGCTACATAGCATGACATCTTGGTCGCAGGGCGCTACTGCACGTGATGTGGCTGGTGCCTGGTGCTACGATGGCTATGTAAGGGGTAACTTACCGATACAGCTATCAGCACAATATGAGCCATGTAGGTCTATATAGCTGTTACTTTTTTTTTCTGATGTACTGATTACCTGACCTTGCCATCTTATACCATAGTACAATTGTAGACACACACCCTCGGTGTACAATTACATCTGAAACAGATCCACTGAAGTGACTGAAATGGTGATTAAGCATCAAATTGCAGTAGCATCTCTTTTAGCAAACAGCTGGCTTTGCTTGTTCTCTGAAAAACCTCTAACCTACCATTGGCTTGCACCAAGGTCAGCCGTCCTTCCTTCCCATGCATGATAACTAACTCCTGAATATATCGCAAGAGATACTTCAACCTCGCCAACCCAGCCTGCATCGTGGACTCGATCATCTGCATCTTCAAATTGCCTAACCTCTCTTTGACAATCTCCACGAACATCCCATCTTGATGTCTCATAAAGAATATGAATGCTGTCTGTGAGAGGAATAACTGTGGGTATGCTTTATTCTGGTACCATCCCAGCAGCCCCACGGATGATTTGATTTTGATGAGATGAGATTGTGCTATGTGTCTCCCTTCCTGTATCACATTAAATGCTATGGAAGGCTTGTCAGAGACTACTATCATTCGTAGAGCCTTTTTGACTACCTTTCTGCTCACTACCTTGACATTGTCTGGCCCATGAGAGGAATTTGTGGACAATGGATCGATGTACGCATCCACTTCAACACTGACTACTATCATATTCAGCCCACCAAAATTCTAAACATGGCATTTCGTCAGTTAAGAGACATCAAATGATGCTGAATACTGATGTATTGGACGATTCTATGATGTCCGGTGCTTCCTTCCCACCCTTTGGGAATGGTTGTACAATGCTTCTCGAGATTGTGTCCATAACTGTGGTCTTTTGGATCAATCTTTACTCTTGCCTCCCTTTCCCACTGGTTGAGGAGAACAGTGCAGCTCCCTGCAAGCTGCACGTCAATCCTGAACGATCACTCCACATCCTTCTTATTTATCTATCACAGCAGCTTCCCCAGACTGTTGTGGTTGGTGACCACATCAGTGTTATTCCAGACGACCGGAGCATCTCGCTCTTCCTCCATGATGTCCACGGCTTTCAGCATCAGTGCGTGAGTAAATACAGGCATTCTGTATGCATTCTCGAACACGAATGTATTGCCTTTATCAATTGGCAACTGGAAAGGCAAGGGTGTATCACGCTACTCGGGAGGACATCCTGACACAGCATTTCACAGTGAGCTGCCACATTGTCTGCACAACCGCGATTGACCACTGACCTGGAACAAGAATGGTTGGTTTTTCTCATTGCAACCAGGTATACGAACCAAGGTATTTGAACTGTGTGATGGCCACCTTCTCATTTGCTGATGCCACATTGGGTCTCTGTAAATTGTGAAGATGCAGTTGCATCAAACCTTCCATGAGTGTAGGTGGTTTTCGCCGGCTCACAACAGCTCGGGCAGCAGAATGTGCAGACTGAGGAGCTTTGGATTGCATATGGGACAATGTTGAATGGAAATTTGCAGAACCAGGAGATGGCTGCATCAGGAAAATGTGTGCCACTGACATTGTGCGACATCGGTGACATCGTACCTGAAGCCGTGTCGTTACCTCCCCTCTCTGTTGTATGCTGTTGTCTCCCGTGGGTACAACAGCATACAGCAGAGCTCACTGTCATCTCTCACGAATGTGACAGCATACGACAGAGCACAGCACAAAGTAGATGTAGTGATATACTGTATACTACTACATTGCATAGCGACGATGGGGATACCTGTCCAATGAGTACAATATATTTCATTCACTTTGTCTGCAGTCCAATATCACAGACGTCATGTATAATATTGTAGTTATACATGGATGTAGGGAGAACATTGAGCTACTGAACTATTTCAAGCCCTCTTTACTGGCCGTCAAAGCTCTCCTTGGCCTCAGGCTGCTACACATAACATGCTACCTATCTATAAGAGTCCTCAATGATGATGACATCAGTTCTCCCCAGAGCATGCAGCATTGATGTCGAGTATGAGGGCAATGTTATCATATCTGCGAGTGGGCTGCGAGGTCGAAATCCCACGATCACAATGTAAAATCCTGTCACAGATTTTGGCCACAAAGTCTGCACGTGACTTCTTTCACACTACAGATCACGTGCTTCACCAATATCTCATGCCACTCAGCCACAGATGTGACACATAGAGATTAGGTGATAGTTCACATCACATGTTATGGTCCAGACCCACGGATGATATGGTCGGACCTGTCTATTCCAGGATACAATAGAGGCACCCATTTGGGAATGAAGGGAACAAGGACTATTGTTCAGGATCATCTAGGCAATCAGCTCAAGGTATAGCCATTACCATGATAGGATGGATCATCTCACCATTGTTACGGATGAAGACCGATCTTCTCACCTATTGTTCTACTTACAGATAGATTTTTCCACTTATTGTTCTGTGTATAGTTTAGTTGCATAGACACATAGACAGCCAATAGCATGTCCCATAATAGTCAGCACCTGTACATGTATATAAGACCAGCATGTAGAGGACGAAACTTCAGATTGTTTCTCCTCGTCTACCACTGTAGGGACCACTGAGCCCACCAGCTCCATCACTATATCTATCACACTTCCATACGCTTGCTACCCAGCTAGTAAGTGTTAGGCTCTTCAGCCACTTTAGGGATCAGGGTGACATGTTCTACATGACTGTTCCCTTTTTAGTCTTTTTGATCTCTTATCCAGCGTCGCTGTGACATTAGAAACAATCTGACAATTTTCTGCACCCCTGCTTAGTGTTTAACACAAGCAGCCACATATTTTCAGTGCAAGCAGTTTCAGCCGTAGCACATGGCTTTTTTGACACAAATTCTGTTCCAATCTCTACCAGGCATGAGCCTCAGCAAGATACTGAGCAGCCCAAGGCAGCAAAGTGCCAGGCCACCCAGTCAGAAGATCTCGATGCACACTACAAGTGTCAAAAAACCAACAAGGAGCGTGAAAGGCTCCTCACACTTGCATCTCTAGGTGCATCCTCCACAGATTGGCAGCACGCAGCAGCCAGGGTTGTTGACACCACACACATTATACAGTGCAGAATCATCCACCAGCCTCGAAGTCACACCCCTCCACTCAAATGCTACAAGCCCAGATGAGGACATCTCACCACCGGTGGTCGCAAGCCAGTGCCACCTCCAGAACTCATCACATTCAACATGGTTTCCCCTCCTGTCATTGCTCCCATCCCAGTTCAGCCCCTTCTGAACTTCATAAAACACAACACAGTCACTTGACCCATCCATCTGCTCCCATCCAAAGTCAGACTGATGATCCACCCAGAGACACTACTCAAGCAGATGGATGCCACTCACTTCAGACTCCAACCCTTACTGGTAAACTTTGCAGAGCATCTCAACGACTATCAATTCGACTGGATCCACCATCTGGCAGAAGAACTAGCCAGAGTCAGTGTGCACATCCATAGTGGAACATGCACTTTCAACTTCGTGGAGAAACAGGTCATCAACATGGTGTGCTTGGAAGTAGGAAGCGTTAGCTTCAAGCAAATAGGGAAAAAGAAGAGACTATAGGAGATAGTGAAGGCGTTGATCGGTATCCAGAAGAAATGATACCTCAACTTTTTGTATTAGATACATTTTTACCATTGCAATGTCAGAGACTGATCACGCACACATGTCCACATTCAGACAAAGAATGGAGGATGTACTCTGACCAAACATTGAGGCCCCACATGAAGGAAGTACCCCTCGTGCTTCCAGGCAGCCATCACCTGAGGTCGGCTCTCAAGACTCCACATCACAACTTGGAGGACGATCATCCCTGACCCCATCACTTCTTCCTGCATACATATCTCCCACATGGTCATTTGACAGACACCAATATGAATGTCTTGAAGATGCCATCAGACAGTTCGCACCTGGCGAAATCCCAATGACATTCACGAATGGGTGATCATCGTCATGAAGTCAATGGTCAACAATGAGCTGAAGAAAATGTACAACATACTCAGTGACAAGATGTACGAGCATAAATGAATCCTTGAAGCATCAATCCAGTCATCCCAGACAGAATGACGACTTAAGGAAGCCGTACTAAAGTCCGAGAACGAAAGGCTCTCTGAAAGGATCAAAGCTCAGAACGCCCATATGGTCATCCTCAATGACGAAATCACAAGTACACAGGGAGCTATGTTAGACATAGGCAAAGAAATGATGAAGATCAAGGCAGTGAACACAAAGCTGCGTCATGAGTTAGCTTCACTTAAAGCAAGTGGCATCTCAACGGCGCAAGGTCACAACTCCGGTACAGTCCAATCACACAAATCACACATCAAGATAGCCAAACCTCCACACTACTCGGGCAAAGGAAGTCTGGAGGACTGGCTCCAATAACTCAGCATCTGGATGCAGTGGAATGAGATTAATGATGACAAATGAAAGATCACCATGGCACTACTGCACTTAGAAGGTGGCACATTCACCTACATGTCAGAATACGCAACCAAGGCAGTGGCACGGCAATTACTCAGCACTTGAGAAGACTTCATCGACATTCTCAAAGTAAACTACAGGACCCTCAACCTGGACAAGGATGCTCAACAGCACCTGAAGGAGATCTGCACAAAGACCTACCCCACAATGGTCTCCTTCACAGAAAAGTTCCACCAATGGGCCACCAAGACCAACTTAGGGCACACCACACTTATCAGATATATTGCTGAACATCAGGACAAAGACGTACATCAAGCAATAGTGACACGAGACAGTCTAGGTATCGCTGACCCGACCACATGGCCAGAGTATCTCGACCTATGTCTTCAACTGGAGTTCAAGTTCAGGGCCGACAAGGCAGGACAGCATGGAACAACAATGACATCATCACAGGCAGCGAAGCCTCGAAGAGACCCCAATGCAATGGACGTGGACCACATGTCCCAACTCACCAAGGAACAAGAAAGATGGCTGGAAAAGAAGCTCTGTGTACATTGTGGAAAGCACTCCTTCATATTCAAGCAGTGCTGCCCAGACCCCAAATACAAAGGCAAATTTGAAATGCCATAGTGGGGCCAAGCAACAAGGGCAGTAATGACACCAGTGGCATCAAGCAGTTCTGACGATGGCAAAGCAAGGGAAGAAGCAGTCTGAGCTTTCCTCACCAGCTACGATGCAAAGGGCAAAGAGGCAGAACCAGAGCCAGCTGTTGAAGCAGCAAGGATCATGGAGGTGGAAGATGATGAGGATTTTCTTCAGCGGGTTCTCTGAGGTCTGGCCAGAGTTTCCATAGACATTGTAACAGTACCTACTCGCTCTCGCATGTACCAGTATCGAGTTTTCTCTATATTGCATCAACTGGTTCATCAAAACATGTGATCGATTTACCTGTTCACCTCAAACAGGGAGTAAAGGAAGTCCAAACTGAGGTGCTCCTTGATTCAGGAGCATATTCTTGTTACATCAACCCATGGCTGGTTGATCGATTGAATCTTGCTACGATCTCACTTGAGAAGGAGATCAGGGTTCACAATGCAGACACATCTCATAACAAGGGTGGAACAATTAAGAAAAGGGTTCTTCTCAGCATAACAATCAGAAACCACACAAGCAGACAAAGTCTCCTGGTTACTGATATAGGTCACAAAGACATTATACTAGGCATGAGTTTCCTCAAAGAGCACACTCCCGAAGTGGATTGGGGAAAACTCACAATTGAATTCACCTGATGCCCACACAGATGTGCACCCTCACAGGTAGCAATCCAGAAGGAGGACCTGGAAGATACAAACATCCCCCACATTGAAGACTTAATGGAGTTCATTGGTTCCCAGGAGTTAGGTGACAACTGGAACGACATGGACAGCTTCATTAAATGGGTGTCATTATCAGAAAACTCTGATGCATAAGCCATAGCATCACTCATTATGGGTCTTGACACCAAGAGGAATCA